GGGATATGTATGATATTCCGCGACGTACCCTGGGTGAGGAAAGCTGCTTAAAGATTTGGGTGGTCTTAGCCGAGAAGCTGGAGAACACGGAAACAAAATAAAAAGCTAGAACTTGCGTTATCTTCAAGAAGTTACGGAAGAAGGCAGCTCGACAGTGTACTGTACAGTACATGAAAACAATTGTGGGAAAAATCTCAGTGTCCTCGAGTCCACAGTTTAAATACGATTTTAGCGGATTAAGTGGTTGCGATTTGTTTAGATTTTTCTGCTTCGCTTCGCAATTAATCACTACTGTATTTCCAGGTGTTTGCTTGTTTGTTAGGTTACAGAAACGCAACACTTGATATTTTGCGTAGGTAGGATGCCTTCCGGGAAATCTTTTCAGGGCATCTGTTTATTATCAGGCGTTACAAACATGCAGAAAACCGAAAAAACGACAAATGGTCAGCCCATCCAGTGTACAGGGAACGGAACCGCTTGTCCACTGATGGGTCGTTTTAGGGTATAACAATACTTAGAATTTAAGGCGAGAAATTCGATCGTTCGGGTACAATTTGTCCCGGAATTGTTTACTGACTCTTTCCCTCTTTCCTGTATTACGTATTCTGGCTGTTATGTGCATATCACAGGGGAAAGTATGGGAATCGTGTCAAATTTGACCCTGTACGACATTTGAAATCGCCACGTTTTGACGTCCCTTGAACACAAAAAAAAAGTGAAAAAACGTTTTATAAATATTTCATGGATGTGTGTGCGTATCGAAGTTGTCTGTGTTTGTGTTGACGTCTATTTCGTTTAATATGACAACACGAAAGTTTATACGGTAGCTTGCGTATAAAAGGCATTATTGGTATAAAATTTTTGTGATAAAACGTCTTGGAGCTCCCTCCAAGACCTTTTATCACCAAAGAGAAAGAGGATAATCACGTGTCATATCTAGCGTAAAGTTGGCTTTAATAAAGATTTTAGTTATTTTTAGCATTTACAGATCTTCATAAAATTCATCTCTACCCTTAATATTAAGTTCTTTGTTGTTTTATAATAATTAAAAATATACAAAGTATTTATTACAGAATCTCGTAATTCGTGACGCCATATAAAATTTTATGTATTTATTATGATTAATAATTAAAAAGATGCATTTAGAACAAAATCTTATATAAGTCGGAAAGTTAGGCAACTCTTGCTATAATTTATAAAGCCATTGTGTTCTCATAATTTGAAATTCAAGAATTTACAGATTCTGCTTCCCACGTTTTTCCTTCCGTTCAAATTATTTATCAAAAGTTTATTCCATTTTCTCATTTCGTCGTTTATATTGAATGTAATATAAAAGCCATCATTGGGTCTTTATAAAAAGAAACTTATGAAATCCGTCAAATTATTTAAACAAATACAGAATTTTCCGTTCTTGTAATGTATATCAATATATTAAAATAAACTAAATACATCAGTAAACTTAAAAAATTAAGTATTTTCACTAGTGATGTAACGAATATTCGGCCTATTCGGCCTATTTTTCACTATTCGGCCGAATACCGAATATTTAATCACTATTCGGCCGAATACCGAATACCTAAAAACAGGAGTTATAAACAACAAAAACACATATTTTGATGATATGAAACCGTGCTGTACAATTTGTTTATGCTTCTAACACAATAAAGTGTTATAAATTAAGACACTTGGCGGGTTTTCTCATCTTTATTTAGTTGATACGTGTGAAAATTTTACACGTTTCGGGCTCTTAAGCCCCTCTTCAGCCAACTAAAACATTAAAAAAGAATATAACATACATATAAAAACACAAGTATTGTA